TTAGACCCACTTATAAAAACTCTTTCTATAAATGCATCTATGTGATTATTAACCAATCAAATCTATTATTCTAAACTACTAAAGTCATGTTTATTATGTGATAATAGTCATATTGTAATTTTATTAGTATTCTTTAATTGCAATTCTCTCTAAATTTATACTTTAAAGCTGATCCTGATGATGTGCATTTAGAGAGGTCTGACTATATTAAATTTTTGATCAAAAATCTAAAATTAAGTATATTCTTTTCAAATTTTAAGTAAAATAAAAATAACTTTAACAGTTTAATATATTTGTAGATTTAATAAGTTTATTTAATAAATAAAATTAAAATTAATTAGTAAAATTTTAAGAATTCTAAAATTTTATAAAACTTTATTAATAAAATTTATAAAATTTTATTATTCTTAAAAATTTACTACTTAATTTTAACTTTATAATTAAGTAAATTTGTTTAGTATCTAAAAAATATATATATATAAACTCAAACTAGTTACAAACTTCTAGACTAAATCTAGATCAAACTTAAGTTTGACTAAAAGTTTGAATATAAAAGTTTAGTTTGGTTCAAAAATCAAACTAAACCAAACTTGATTAAAGCTTAGTTCAATCTGGTTCAATAGAAATACTATTATTTAATAAAAAATTTTATATTTTAAATTTAATTTATATATTTAAAATTAATATATATTATATATATTATTTTATAAATTTAAGCAATAGCAAAAAAATTAATTTTATTACTAATTCTTATTAATACAAAATTAAACAAATTATAATTTTGTTATTTAAAAAAACAAAAAGCAATTATTAGCAAATTTTTTAATAATACTAATTAACAATCTAATTTTTTGGCTTTTTCTTTTAATTTAATCTCTTTAGCAAATAATTCCAATCTAACTTTTTTCATTTTCTAATTTTTGTTTTTCAAGTGCTATCAATGATTCTTGTTTTTTAATTTCACGTGCAGTTTCTCTTTTTTTAATAGAAATTGCTATTTCTTTTTCTTTTAAAATAAATTCTCTTTCTTCTCTTAAAAATTCAGAATTTGAACCTTTAGCATAATTTGATGATAATTCTTCAATTTTTTTTGAAGTAGCTATTGTTCTTGCTTTTTTTTTAATAGATGCAGTTTTTTGAATACCTTTTTGTTTTTTGTATTAATAATTTTTTTATCTTAATTATTAAAAATTAAAAATTTAATAATTTAATAAAATAATTAATAATTTAAATTAATAATTAAAAATTAAAATATTAATAATAAACTTACCTTCACATTTATTTGCATTATATATTTTTTGTGTTATGCTAGTATCTTTATTTGTTTAAGAAATAGAAAATTTCTCATGAATTTCAATTCTTTTATAAGCTAGCAAATCAAAATTCCAACCTCTTTAAAAAAATTTAAAATTAGTAAATTTTTGTTTTAAATTAAAATAAAAAATTATTAACACTTACTTTATAATTGCTACTCTAAGTTTTAATTTTGTTCCTTCTCTATTTATAGATGCATATGCTGTTTCAACAATATTAGTATCAAATAGAGTAGAATTCTATAGATTAGTTGGTATTTTAGTATAAGCTTGTATTAATGATACCAAAATCCAAGGAGTTTTATAAAATGAAATCTAATCTAAAAATTATAAAATTTTTAAATTAGTTTAAAATTTAGTAATTTTTAAAATTAAATAATTAGTAAATTTACTTTGAATTTTTGGCTCATTTAATTTTCTAAAGCTTTAAATAATTGCTGAACATTTTCTTTACTAGTTTGGTTAATTAATTCATACATTAAATTTTTTGCTTTATCAGAATATTTACTATTATGTATATTTCTTTATATTATTAAAATAAAAAATTTAATTAAATATATTAATAAAAAAATAATTTTAAAATAATATATAAAAATTAATAAATAATTTATTTACCTTTGAAAATGAATTCTACATGATTTAATAATATATTCCAAATGTTCTTTTTTTTTTTTGAAGGATTAATTGTTTTTAAAGCTTTTCCTAAACCTTTTGCTTGAGCCAAATCTAAATCAACAACAATACAACCTAATCCAGTATTATGAATATGTTGAAATTGAAGTTTTTGAGATGTTAATATTTCAATATAATTAAAAAATGAAATAAACATTTCTTTATATGCTTCAATATTAGTTATAGTAGTAAAAATTCTATATAAACATAATGCTAATTCAAAAAATAATTAATAATTAATAATAAAGTTAATAAAAATAATATAATTAATAATTAATAAATAAATTTAAATAATTAAAATAAAATATAAACTTACTTGTTGAATATTTTTGATCA